TCACATTTTTTTTTTAATTCCCACTACAAAAATGTAATGAGAAAAAAAAACATAATAGGCATGCAGTCGTCAAGTTTCCGACAGCGAGGGAAGTACTGTCTAAACTCCTTAGACCAATTTTTTTATTAACAGTAGTCAAATCATTAAATACATATTATTTTTGAAACTAAAATGCATTTTATCCTAAGATTGTATCACAAAATATTCATCACCATTTAAATATATACGATTTAGACATCAAGAAATAAATTTAAAATTGCAAAAATTATACTAAAACAGCCTTAAATGTGTCTTGTATGTACGTGCTTATCAGTATGTAGGCATTTTAACGCACAGCAATAATCGTTCTTGATGAGTAGATGAGTAATGACTGATGACTACTGTAACACAGTAAATCCTCGAAATCGAAAATTTAAAACACTGAAAAATTCAAATATGGGAAAATTGCAAAATCGAGAAATCGAAACATAAAAAAATCAAAAAAATTAAAATTGGAAAATCTAAAATTTAAAAATCGAGAAATTGAACAATCGGTTAATTCAAAAATCGAAACATCGAAAAATTAGAAAATCGAAAAATTAAAAAAAATTGGACAGTCGAAAATTTAAAAATTCCGAAAATTGAAAAATTGAAATATAGAGAACTGAAAACTTAAAAAATCGAAAAAAATTAATAATTTCAAAAATTGAAAAGTTAAAATTGAGAAATCGAAAAACTGAAAAATCACAAAATTGAACGAAATATCAAAAAATTAGGAATTTTTGAGAAACAAAAAAGTCAAAAAAGCAGAGTCTAAAAATCGCAAACTTAAAAAATCGAAAAATTGAAAAATCAAAAACCTGAATAATCGAAAAATTGAAGAACTGAAGAACTGAAAAATCGAAACTTTAGGAAGTGGAGAAATGGGAATATAAAAAAATAGATTAATTGAGAAATCCGAAAACTAAAAATTCAGAAACGTCAAAATTTGAAAAATAAAAAAATATTGAAGAACTAAAAAAATCGAAAAATCTAAAATTTAAAACATTGAAAAGTTAAAATATGCAAAAACTAAAAAATGGAGAAATCCAAACATCAAAAAATAAAAATAAAAATCTAAAATTTAATAATCGAAAAACTGAAAAATCAACGAATCGAGAAGTCGAGAATTGAAAAAATTGGACAATTGAAAAATCGGATAAATCAAAAATCGAAACATCGAAAAATCGAGAAACCGAAAAGCAAAAAATCGAAAAACCAACAAATCGAAAAATCGAAACATTGTAAAATTCAAAAATTGAGACATCGAGAAATCGAAAAATCAAAAGACAAAAAAAATCGAGGAGTCGAAAAATAAAAAAATTGAGAAACCGAAGTAGGCCAAAATCGAAATATCGAAAACTTAAATATGGAAAAATTGATAAAGCAAGAGATTGAATAATCAAAACATCGAAACATCCGAATCTCAATGAATTGAGATCTCAAAAAATTTAAACATTCGTAAATTAAAAAAATTAAAATATAGAACTGGAAACTCGAGAAACTGAAAAATCTAGAAATTTAAAAATTAAAATATGAAAAAGTTGAAAAATTGAGAAATTGAAATAAAAAACAAAAAACTGAAAATCCAAAAATAAAAAATAGAAAAATCTAGAAGTCGAAAAATGAAAGAATCGAAGTATTGAAAAATATCAAAACTGAAAGAAATATCCAAAAATTGAGAAATCGACAAACCAATAAAGCGAAGTCGAAAAATCGAAGAATTGAAGAACTGAAAAATCGAAACTTTGCGAAGTGGGAAAATCAAAAATAGATTAATTGAAAAATCAGAAAACTGAAAATTTAACGCAAAAATTTGAAAAATTGAAAAATTTAAATACTGAAGAACTGAAAAGTCAAAAAATCGAGAAATCGAAAAAACTAAAATTTAAAACAATGAATAATTAAAATATCGCAAAATTGAAGAATCGAGAGATCCAATTCAATTTGAAAAATTGAAAAATCGGGGCATTGAAAAATTGGAAAATCCAGAAATTGAAAAGCTCAAAAGAAAAAAATCGAAAAACCGAGAAATCCAAAAATCGAAACATCGAAAAATTCAAAAACTGAGACTTCGAGAAATCGAAAAATCGGAGGATCGAGAAATTGAACAATCAAAACAACGAAACATCTGAATTCGATAAATTGAGAAAATAAAAAATTGAATAATCGAAAAATTTTAAAAAAGAAAAACTCGAAAATCAAAAATTAAAATTCAAAAAATCGAAAAATTGAAAAATTGAAATATAGAAGAACTGAAAACTCGAAATATCGAAAAACCTAGAATTTTAAAAAATGAAATATTAAAACATCGAAAAGTTTAAAAATTGAGAAATCGAAGCATTAAACAGTCCCAGAATTGAAAAATCTAAAGTTTACAATAAATTGAAAATCCAAAAAGGAAAAGAGCGAGAAATAAAAAAAAATCCATCAATTCAAAAATCGAAAAGTCGAAAAATTGAAATATTGAAAAATCTCATAACTGAAAGAAATATTCAAAAAATTGAGAAATTAAAAAATTGGAAAATTGAGAAATCGAAAATCTAAAAAAGCAACATCGAAAAATCGTAAGCTTAAAAAAAACGAAAAATTGAAGAAGTGAAAAATAGAAACTTTAGGAAGTCCAGAAATGGAAAAATAAAAAAAATACTTTAGAAACCGGAAAACTGAAAATTTAGAAACGTGAAATTTTGAAAAATTGAAATATCAAAATATTTAAAAACCGTAAAATTGAAGAGGACAAAAATTGAGAAATCGTATCATTGAAACATCGTAAGATTGAGAAATCGAAAAATAAAAAAATCGAGAAATAGAAAATTTAAGGACTGGAGGAATCGGAAAAGCCCAAAATTGAAATATTGAAAAATTGAGACATTGAAAGTTGAAAAATCGAGAAATCGACAAGCCGAAAAATCCCAATAGCGTATTTAGGTATAAATCACAAGATCAGGACTATTCTACTTTTTAAAATTTAAATACATAACATTATAAATTGGAAAATGTTGATTTTTTTTTCCAAAAATCTTGACGTCTAAGGTGAAAACTCGACACGGATGCATAAACCGTAAACGGGGCGAAACTACAATTTTACTATTGTAAAATTTGGAGATTGCGTCATTTCATTGTTCGTGACAAATTTTGGAGAGTGTAATTTGATAATACAATTTGAAATGTAAATTTTGTCATTCGGGAACATTATGTATTAAATCGTTAAGATGTTCAAGAACTTTGTTCACTTATTCGTTGTAAAGTCCAATGGTCGAAATGGGTTAGTTCTTCGTAGTGGATGTGTATCAGATCAACTCTAACGAATATCGGTTTATAGATAAATCGCTTAAAGCCGATATTGGCATGAGTGTGCTTTGGTCTGTAGATCAAACAAGTTCTCAGGCGACGAAAAATTGCATGTGGGAGGAGACTTCGGATTACAAATCGTGCCAAGAAAGACATATTTGGGAGAGATGGATTTTCAGGTGCTTGACTAGCGGTAATTTTAAATTGTTTGCTGTCGTTCGCGAAGTGAAGATTTCGTTAATAAATTCATAGAAAACTATAAGGGATTTTTTCATGCCTTAGAAAATTAAAAAGTAAAAAATACAATAACAAAAATTTTAAAATGCGGTTTACGAAAAATTAGTTGACCTGTGCAAAGAAGAAAATTTTGGAAACGCTGACAAATATGATATCTTAAAAAAAAATAACACTTGAAGAAGTGCTTTCGGCGTAATCTTTTTGATGTTCGCGTGAACAAAATACTCTATGTCAGTGTGCATTGCGCAAAGAGTTAACTGTGCAGATCTAGCCGAAAATCCGAAAACCAAATCGCTGTGTGTAGGGCCAGCATAACGGAAGTAATAAATCAATCATCCCATCGGTTGAAGAACGTTGGGTCAGTGCAATGATGTCGGTGTTATATCCCGAGAGGGGCCCAATACACCCAATAAAAGCGAACAGACAAAATAAAGCTTCAAACATAATTATTTTTATACTAAAATTCTGAAGTTTATAAACTGCACATTTTATTTATTTATTTATTTTATCTTGTTTTCGAACTATAATAAACATTTCAAACAATGTCTGTAACTTATTTTAATGTAAATTATATTCATGTGGTTAACAAAATCAGATGTAATATTAGTGTGATTTTGACCTTATTCTAGATTTTATTACAGCAGAACGGCGTATCCTTTTTAAATTTTAGAAGTTACGGAAACTAGTTCAAGAAACAATTAGTTATCTCGTATTTTTGGAACAAAATCTACCAAAATGCCCGATAACAGCAATTGTTTTTCATAGAAACAAACAGTCTTCAAAGCAGCCTTTAATAACTCGATATTACAAACATGCCTCTTAAGTTCTTTATGCGTTTTTTTCTCTCTTGTAATTATTTGTAATGTTAACGCCGAAAGTTTATGTCATTCTGTTATTTACTTTGAACATATATTTTCATTTTGTGTTGATATTTTTGTAACACCACGAATCTAAATTTTACTTAAAATCTTGTTTTACTTTAATCTTGTAAAACTAAACAATTATACCAGTTTAAAAACCCTTGGAAAGTTTCTGTCAGTCTTCAGATATAGTCAAATAAAAATAGGCGTCAAATTCATTTAAATTCAATTCTTTCGTATCACGTTACAACGCGTTGCTTCATATTTTTTATGTCAAGTATATTTTCATATTTTGTACATATATGTTTATACACATTACTGTTTACGGAACAATGTTAATTATGGATTTATGGATAACTCCTCGTATAAGAGCAGAGTGAAGGGTGTTTGCCTTTGCTAATGTTTGATGGCGCCATCTGATTTAGAGTAAAATAAACCTAATACGTTGGCTCACTGTAGTGAAAAAGTGCGTTGATGAAAAATTTGTCCCACGCCCCCTGGATTCCTTGTCCTAAAGCTCACTATTTAGGAGAAGTAAAATTTGTATTAGGTTGTTCAACTATAATATACTTAAACAATGGTATGATGGAGCAAGGCGAACTGGAAGAGCTATTGCAACTTGATTCCAAAACACTAAAAAAAGTACTAACGAAATTTAAGAACGTAGTTCGTTGGTTTCTACCATCGTGTAGTTTCCACTTCTGGTGGAAAAAAGAGGACAATATTTTAGAAAAGATCGAAGTTCTGGTGAAGTGTGGATTGGAAGACGAGGTGATCAAGTGTGTCCAAAATACGAATACTACGCTTTTATTTCACTTCTTGTTGAAGGAGTTCGATGAGCCTACAGTCACTGCAATCACGTGTTAGTTGTTGTAATATTTTGCGTCTCACTGAACATGATTTACAAGATGTATTTTGGAATTAGGCTCCGCCTCTAGGTCTGCCAACGAATGAAAACTTCACTATTTAGATCAGGGCAGGTATGGGTGGGGCTTTAATTTTTTCTTAATCTACATAGTATTCTTTGAATAACACGATACCCAAAAACATTTCTTACATAACGATTTTGCAATTAAGTTCTGTTCCTTTGGCTCTCGACGACAAAACAAAATCATCACAATTGAGATAGGGCGGGTGGGCGGGGTTTATATTTTGACGTTTTTCTTAATACACATAGTCAGTCGTCTTTTCAGAACAAGAAACTTAATATTACAACAGGTACCTATTATTCTAATGATTTTTAACGCATGTAATAGTTGTAACATTTATTTTCAATAGAAAAAATACTGGATAAAACAAAGGACAAATAAATTCCACTTACTAGTAACAAAAATAGAAATATCACTATAAAATATTTTTAATACAATTTTGTTTCATATGTAATAATCTTTTTGTGTACGTTACTAATTGGCAGGCCGTTGAGTCTCGAATAAAACTCTTTGCACGTTTTAATGTTAAACTTGTTTACAAAAAACTCCCTAAAAACATTTCGCGCTAGTTCTACCAACAGGGGGATTTTTTGAAAACTCTGTACCTCTGAATAACCAATCATTTGATTAATCTGGTAACAAATTTCATTTAATTTCGGATGGACGAAATAACGTCGTAATAGATAAGCACTATCCGCATCATAATCACTCTGTTCTTGGAGAAAACGTTCTACATTCATATTAATATCATACACGAAAGCAGGCACCGCCTTTTTTATGTAACCTTCCAGAATAACGCCCTTCTGTATGTCCATGTGCAAAAGAATTTTAAACAATTCGCAATAACCATACAAATCATATACATAATGCAAATCTAACTCTTGAACATTCAAACCATAACTTAATAAATAACAGTAGAGTGGAGTTACGGCATTTTCATCATACCCTAGTTCTATCAAATCCTCAAATATCTCGGTACTATTCACATTATTAATAAAAGTTATCACACTTGGTCTTAATTCGCTTTCAAGTATCACATTTAAGTTTTTTAAACAAATAACCTTACCCTCGCCACCCTCGTAATAAGATTCTGAAAATATTTTTCTTGAAAACACCTTATTCATATAGTGGCCAAATTTTTGAATAACGAGATGCAGACAATCAATGCTTATGGAACACAAAAAGCGAAAGTAGAGACTTAAAGACTCATACTGAATTGTTATTTTAATAGGGCATTTAATAATGTGGTAGAACAATGGTGATTTCGCCTCAGCAAGCGTTAGCAATACATCCAGGTGCAACTCCAAGTTCGAGTACTCATCATAAATGTACAAAAATAAAATTTCTTGTATTTCAAAAGAGTTACCATATAAAACAGATTGTTCAAAGTTAAGGACTGTAGGTTGTGCTCCATACACCAACAGAGTCATCATTAGTTCACTTTCATCTTTGTACAAGGTTCTGGTAAGAGGGGTGTCTTGTTCCCGATTGGGAGCATTAACATCAGCCCCCCGTTCTATAAGAAGCTTAGCTGCTTTATAGTAACCACGATCTAAGGTACGGTGTAATGGTGTATCCCCGTGAAAATAAACTCTATCAATGCTGGCACCTTTTTTGATTAGTTCATATGCAAAATGCTCCCTCATCCAAGTATCGTTATTACTCACAAAACAATCAAGTGCAACTACCAACGCTGTTAGGCCTTCTCTGTTCACGAACTCAATGGGAAAATCCGGGATGGATAACATATAATCAAAAACTTCGATGCTAAAAAACGTGTACTTGGCTATTTGTAAATTTTCTCAAGTGACATACTTGTCTGTAAGAATTGCTATTTGAAGTAAACTGTAACCGCAAGAGTCTCGAACGTTGTACCACCTGGGAGAATCGAGGAGGTCGCTGAGGACGTCCACTTGGTTTTGGACGACGGCGGCGATTAAACGACTTTTTTTTTTAATCTAGGGAGAAATCGGGATTATGTTGTGTGTGGTTTTATGCGTAATTACCAAAGGGGGCCCGTTGTTCTGATCTTCGTAAAATTTTAAATAATAATTCTCGTACTCGACAGAACCATCAGAGTCTGAAGAAGACATATTTGAGTGGGTTTCGCTGAATTTTGCCACAGACTTGGTTTTTCATTCAAAATGTTTTTAGTAGTACTTTGGTTGGCGTTTATGTTTTAACTGTCTAATATCACATTATGAGTAATTGTCGTTAACTATGTAATATTTATTTAATTTTCAGTCCTTTTTTCATAATAATTGTCGTAATGAGCATTTAAATTCTAGGTTAGATTTCTGAATTTGTAGCCAACGTGACATGAGTGACTCAGTGATATGACACATGTTGAATATCCCCAAAAATATTGGAAACCTATTTAATAAAAAAAAAAAGATTTCTATGTACAAAAAAACACCAGTTTTATTAATAATTACAATTATTAATAGTCGTGTACCAATTGGGCATTGTTGTCAACTGCTTTTGTATTAAATGTATTTAAAATGTGAGAATATCAGCCCAATTTTCAAAATGTCTATTCATTAGCTGTCATCTGTAGAATATCCTCCTGCTGTCATCTTCTCATTGGTTTTTATTCAGCAAAATGAATAGTTCAAAATATTAAAAATTGATTAATAACTTACAGTTCAAAAACGATCGTCACTGAGTTTTACTCTGTGGTTTTACTAATATAAAGTAGGCGAGTTTTGATACAAATTAAACAGGTTCATCATGTGCTCTCACTTTGTATCACATTGTTGGTTGCCGATGAAACATAACTAGAATGAAAGCAGAGATGAAAGCTAAAGATTAAGCTAAAGAACATAGAGAAGCGTCACAGTTTAAATTAAATGTCATAAAATTTTTAACGACGCGTTTTACTTTCGACAAATTGACCAAAATATTACAAGCTGCTTACTGTTTCCTTTATTTTAATTCAGGTCACACAAATTACAATTTGTCGTCTGAGAACTTGTTTGATCTACAGACCAGAGCGCACTCAGGCCAATGTCGACTCCAAGCGTCCGGAAACGATTTGATATACATATAATAAGCCATGATCCGTGATCTGATACACATCCTAACCGGTTTCGACCATAATTTCTTGCTGTTTCAACTTTCGAATTCTCAGTTTTTCGAAAGTTTAGTTTGGGGACTTTTCAATTTACTCCTATTTATTATTCAATTTTTGGATTTTACAAATTCTGAATTTTTCAATTTCTCGGTTTTCAGTTTTTCTCTTCAATTTTACGATTTTTAAATATTTCGATTGTTCAATTTTTGACTTTTATTTATAAACTCTTTATTTCTCGATTTTTCAATTAATTGATTTTTCAGGTTTTTTGTTTTTTCAATTTTTCTATTGTTTCAGGTTTCGATTTTTCAACTTCACTTTTTTGATTTTTCGATTTCTCAATTTTAAATTTCAGTTTTGGCATTTTTCAGTTTACTTATTATTCAATTTTTCGATCTTACGATTTTACAGGTTTTTGATTTTTCAATTTTTCGATTTTTTTAAGGTTTCGATATTTTCGACTTCACTTTTTTGATTTTTCGATTTCTCAATTTTTCGATTCTTTAGGTTCTCAGTTTTTGGATATTTCAGTTTTCCGATTTTTCAGTTTTTCGATTTGTCAACTTTTCTTTCATTTTTAAATTTTTCGATATTTCAGTTTTGGGATTTTTCAATTCTGTTCTTCGACTTTTCCATTTTAGATTTCTCAATTTTTTGGTATTTTAATTTTTCAATATTTAAAATTTTAGATTTTTCGATTTCTCGATTTTTCATTTCAGCTCTTCCATATTTCAATTTTTCAAATGTTTCGATTTCTTAATCTATCGATTTTTCGACTTCCCGGTTTTAGATTTTCTGTTTTTCAATTGCCGTTTTTTCAAATGTTCGATTTTTCAATTTTTCAAATTTGACTTTCATAAACTTTCAAATTTTCGATTTTTCAATTAATCGATGTTTTGATTTTCCCATTTCTTGACTTTCGAGGGTTTCGATATTCCTGTTCTTCAATTCTTTAATTTTTCGATTTTTTATTTCTTAGTTTTTTTAAAGTTTCGATTATTCGACTTCACTTTTTGGATTTTTCGGTTGCTCAATTTTTCGACTTTTTAGGTTCTCAGTTTTTGGATATTTCAGTTTTCGGATTTTTCAGGTTTTCCATTTTTAGTTTTTCTTTCATATTTCAGTGTTTCAATATCTCATTTTTGGGATTTTTCAATATTTCGATTTTTCGACTTTTCGATTTTTGACTCCTGGATTTTTCGATGTGCGATTATTTTACTTTTTAGATTGTTCAATTTTTCGATTTTAAATTTTAGATTTTTTAATTTTTAAAATTTTGGATTTTTAAATTTTTCGATTTTTTAGTTCAGTTGTTCGATATTTGAATTTTTCAAATTTTCGAATTTTTCAAATGTTTCGATTTCTTAATCTTTTGATTTTCAGACTTCCCGGTTTTAGATTTTCTGTTTTTCAATTGTCATTTTGTCGAATTATTTTCGATTTTTTAAGTTTTCAAATTTGACTTTCATAAACTCTCAATTTTTCGATTTTTCAATTAATCGATGTTTTGATTTTCCTATTCTTCAATTCTTTAATTTTTTTATTTTTCGGGTTTTTCATTTTTCAATTTTTCGATTTTTTAAGATTTCTATTTTTCGACTTCATTTTTTGATTTTTCGATTTTTCAACTTCCTGGTTTTCGATTTATCAATTTTTCAATTTTTTATTTTGGCCTGTTTCGGTTTCTCAGTTTTTCGAGTTTTCCATTTTTTCGTTTTTTGATTTTTCCGCTTTTCCAATTTTTCAACTTTTAACTTTTTGTTTGTCGATTTCTCTATTTTTCGACTTCATCACTTTTCGATTTCTCGTTCTTTTGATCTTTCAATCTCTCAATTTTTCGAATTTTTAAGTTCTTGATTTCTCGATTTATCGAGATTTTGATTGTCAATTTCTCAATTTATAAATTGTTCAATTTTTAACTTTTCGATTTTTCGATTTTGGCCTATTTCGGTTTCTCAGTTGTTCGACTTTTCGACTCCACAATTTCTTGATCTTTTGATTTTTCGATTTCTCGATTTCTCATTTCAGTTCTTCGATATCTCCGCTTTTCATGTTTTCGAATTTTTCAAATGTGTTGATTTCTTAATCTATCGATTTTTCGACTTTCCGGTTTTAGATTTTCTGTTTTTCAATTCCCGTTTTTTCAAATTTTCGATTTTTCAATTTTTCAAATTTGACTTTCATAAACTTTCAATTATTCTATTTTTCAATTAATCGATCTTTTGATTTTCCCATTTCTTAACTTTCGAGGGTTTCGATATTCCTGTTCTTCAATTCTTTAATTTTTCAATTTTTCATTTTTTAGTTTTTTTAAAGTTTCGATTTTTCGACTTCACTTTTTGGATTTTTCGGTTGCACAATTTTTCGACTTTTTAGGTTCCCAGTTTTTGGATTTTTCATCTTTTGCATTTTTCAATTTTTCGATATCTCAGTTTTGGGATTTTTCAATATTTCGATTCTTCGACTTTTCGATTTTTGACTCCTGGATTTTTCGATGTGTCGATTATTTTACTTTTTCGATTTTTTACTTTTTTAAATTTTAGATTTTTCGGTTTCTCGATTTTTAAGTTCAGTTCTTCGATATTTGAATTTTTCACGTTTTCGAATTTTTCAAATGTTAAGATTTCTTAATCTTTTGATTTTTCGACTTCCCAGTTTTAGATTTTCTGTTTTTCAATTGTCATTTTGTCGAATTTTCGATTTTTTAATTTTTCAAATTTGACTTTCATAAACTCTCAATTTTTCGATTTTTCAATTAATCGATGTTTTGATTTTCCCATTTCTTGACCTTCGAGTGTTTCGATTTTCCTGTTCTTCAATTCTTTAATTTTTTTATTTTTCAGGATTTTGATTTTTCAATTTTTCGATTTATTAAGGTTTCTATTTTTCGACTTCACTTTTTTGATTTTTCGATTTTTCAGTTTTAGGATTTTTCAATATTTCAATTCTTCGGTTTTTCTATTTTTGACTTCTGGATTTCTCGATGTGTCTACCTTTTTACTTTTTCGCTTTTCCAATTTTTGGATTTTTTCAATCTTGTGATATTTTAATTTTTCAATATTTCTTAATCTTTCGATTTTTCGACTTCCTGGTTTTAGATGTTCTGTTTTTCAATTTTTCGATTTGTTAATTTTTCATTCCCGATTTATTGAGATTTGATTATTCAGGTTTTCGATTTATGAATTTTTCAATTTTTTATTTTGGCCAATTTCGGTTTCTCAGTTTTTCGAGTTTTCCATTTTTTCATTTTTTGATTTTTCCGCTTTTCCAATTTTTCAACTTTTAACTTTTTGTTTGTCGATTTCTCTATTTTTCGAATTTTCGACTTCATCACTTTCAATTTCTCGTTCTTTTGATCTTTTAATCTCCCAATTTTTCAATTTTTCGAATTTTTAAGTTTTTGATTTCTGGATTTATCGAGATTTGGATTTTTCGATATTCTGATTGTCAATTTCTTAATTTATAAATTGTTCAATTTTTAACTTTTCGATTTTTCGATTTTGGCCTATTTCGGTTTCTCAATTGTTCGACTTTTCGACCCCACGATTTCTTGATATTTTGATTTTTCGATTTCTCGGTTTTTCGATTTTCCAGTTTTTCGATGTTTCGATTTTTCAGTTACCGATTTTTTAAATTTGGGAGTTTCGATTTCTCGATTTTTCGTTATTCGGTTTTTAAATTTTAAAAATTTTTGAATTTTACATTTTTTCGATTTTCTGATGTTTCATTTTTCGATTTTCAGTTCTTCGATATTTCGATTTTTCAATATTTCAGTTTTACGATTTTTTAAGGTTTCGATTTTTCGAATTTTCGATTACTTTAATTTTTCTTTTTTTTTTATCACTGTTAATATCATCCAGTTTATCGAAAACAACCACAAAATTTGTCACTAAAAACATTTAAAAATTCATACAAAATAGAACACAGTGTTTCCAAAACATTTTTCCGAAAAAAATCCATTGGGTTATTACGATTTCAACAATATTCTTAGTTTAAGACGTTTTGCTAGTATAAAACACAAATAAAGAATTAATTCTTAGTTAAACAAAGTATGTAAAATCATCTAAATATGTATCAAAAATATTCACTTAGTCGTTATAAAAACCGACCAAACAACTATTTCCCACAGAAATTATAGTCCAAACCAACCAAATCGCTTCTGAACGCTTAGAGTCGACATTGGCCTGAGCGCGCTCTGGTCTGTACATCAAACAAGTTCTCAGGCGACGAGTTGTAGTGTAACAAGTTTTTTTATTGGCATCGACTATTTAAATTTGGCGCTGGTCTTTGGCGGTTGAGGACTCCAATATTAATAAGGGTGGTTTTTCAAAATCAGCCTGTATGTCGCTCGCATCTATATTAATATATGCATATATTAACGAAAAATATAAAAAAGTATTATTTTACTGTTGGCAACAATGCCCAATTGGTACACGGCTCTTGATAATCATTAATTAATTGATTATACTAGCGTTTTTTTATATACGGGGTTAATATTTGATAAGATAAGACTAATTTTGGCACGTTTGACATTTTCGACCAATTTTCAACTATTTTCGAAAATTAGTTGAATACACTTATAACTTCCTTCTAGATTTCGATATTCAGAAATTATTTTCAGCTTCGGTTCTTCGATAACAAACCCCGCCCACCCACCCTGTCTCTGTTTCAGTGATTAATTTTATGGGATCTGTTGAAATAAAATTAGTCGTTAGAAAAAACAGGGTGGGTGGGTGGGGCTAGTATGTGATAAGATAGCTGATTTAGCACTTGTGACATTCTCGACCATTCTTCAACTATTTTCTAAAATTACCTAAAGATATTTTCATGTAGATTTCGATATCCAGAAGTCATTTTCGGTTTCGTTTCTTCAGAAATTCCTACCGTTTTTCCATCAAAATCGCTAGATATAAAATTATTATTGATTTTTATTAATTTTTGTTTCAGAAAATAAGTACAATTATTTTAAGAATGTACTTTGTGGTTTTTATAGGTATTTTCACAGAAATGTTTAAAATTTGTTTGTTTCTTTGAGACAATTGAGAAGTCAGGTCACGTTAGGTCAAGCCAGGTGAGGTGCATGATACATATAAGAAATAAATTTTGTAACAAATAGTATAACAAAAAATAAATACGATTAGCGTTTTTTTTTTACTTTTTTCATTAGAATATTCTAGATTTTATTATTAGTTTCCAGTCTCACTCGATAGAAGAACATAACTAGCCCCGCCCACCCACCCTGCCTCTTTTTCAGTGAATGATTTTATCCGATCTGAATCAAATACATGGTCTTATACTTAACAGAAGTAAAATTAATCCTTAGAATTAGAAGAGGGAGGGTGTTTAGTACTTACTAAGATAAGGCTGATTTTGGCAAATCAAATACCTTCCAAAAAAACAGAGGGTGGGTGGGCGGGGCTAATACTTGATAAGATAAAACTGATTTTGGCACTTTTGACATTTTCGACTATTTTTCTTACTAGAAGAGGTTAGGTAGGTCAAATCAGGTCAAATGCATGAAATAAGAAATAAATTTATGTACATAACAGAAACTTTTGTTTTCCATTTAAGAAAAAATAGTCATTCGAGACGTTTCAAAAAAAAAAAAACAAATTATTAAAGTATTTTAACACAAATAACTGCGACTGTTTAATTTTTTTCAGTTGGTATTAACATTTGCTTTTAAACTTGACATTAAACATTCATCAAAGTGCTGTTTAAGAGTGGTAAATAGCTTAGTGCTCCAAAAAGCAACTATCATGTACTGGCATGGTAGAAGGAGACATGGTATAGGCATACGCATCGGGTGTGACGTCAAGTGGGGTGAAATTAGCGCGAAATTTAAAATACAATTCGTTATCCGACAACTAATTGACGTATTGGACAGAGCACTGACAACTCAAGCTGAAATTCCCTAGACTTCCCTAGCGAAGCTCACAAGAGTCACAAGGTCGTTGATGCCACCTAACGTCACAAATGGATGCGCAGACCATTTTTAAATTGGTACATCGGATGCCTATACCATGTCTCCTTCTACCATGATGTACTGGATAGACTAAAAATCAAGGTTTATCCCCATCCACGTTTCTCACAACTAAAATATTATTTCGTTATTCATGTCCAGAGAAACGAACGACAATGGATTGAAGTTTTTGCTGCGAATGCAGAGTCAATTGCTTAAATTGACTAGAACTTAACTCTAAATTGTGTTTTAAGTAGCAATTTCGAAAACGTGATTCTTTTGGCGTATGATTTTAACAAGAACAAAAGTGACATAAAAATTGCTAAGAATTTGCCGCGCAACATCGTTGCCAACCTCGTAATGAAAGAGTTAAAAAAATCCACTTTTTTAAATTTAATGGAAGTGTCATTTTTGGGGGTCTATTAATTCAAAAGTGATTATTTCCGATCGTCTGTCAGTTTTCCAAAATAGAATGGGTCGAAGGCCACAAAATCACATTTCCAGTGCATTCTGCCTACATTATGATTGAAAGAAATGTTTGTGTTGGCAGTTCTGAATTATTGGCAGCAATGTCACACAGGAATTATTCTAATGATTTTTAACGCATGTAGCAGTTGTAACATTTATTTTCAATAGAAAAAATACTGGAAAAAACAAAGGACAAATAAATTCCACTTACTAGTAACAAAAATAGAAATATCACTATAAAATATTTTTAATACAATTTTGTTTCATATGTAATAATCTTTTTGTGTATCTTACTAATTGGCAGGCCGTTGAGTCTCGAATAAAACTCTTTGCACGTTTTAATGTTAAATTTTTTTATAAAATATTTCCTAAAAACATTTCGCGCTAGTTCTACCAACAGAGGAATTTCTGGAAAATTCTGTACTGCTGAATTACCCATCATTTGATCAATCTGGTAACAAATTTCATTTAATTTCGGATGGACGAAATAATGTCGTAATATATAAGCACTATCCGCTTCATAACTACTCTGTTGTTGGAAAAAACGTTCTAAATTCATATTAATATCATACACGAAAACAGGCACCACCTTTTTTTCGTCTTCTTCTAGAAAAAAGCTCATTTGTACGTCCATGTGTAAAAAAATTTTAAACAATTCGCAGTAACCGAATTCTCTATATATAATTTGCAAATCTAACTCTTGAATGTTCAACCCATAACTTAATAAATAACAGTAGAGTCGAGTTAAGGCACCTTCGCTATATCCAAGCGCTATCAAATCCTCAAGTATCACGCTACTTTTCACATTTTTAATAAGAGTTATTACACTTGGTCTTAATGCGCTGTTGAGCATCATTCTTAAGTTTCCAAAACAAATAATCTTGCCCTCGCCACCCCCGTAATAAGATTGTGAAAATATGTTTCTTGAAAACACCTTATTCATACAGTGGCCAAATTTTTGAATAATGAGAAGCAGACAATTGATGCTTATGCAACACAAAAGGCGAAAGTAGAGATTTAAAGACTCATGCTGAATTGTTACTTTAATAGGGCATTGAATAATGTGGTAAAACAGTGGCGATTTCTCCTCAGCAAGCTTTAGCAATACTTCCAGGCGCAACTCCAGGTTCGAATACTCATCATAAATGTACAAAAATAGAGTTTCTTGTACTTCAAAAGAGCTATTATCTAAAACAGATTGTTCAAAATTGAAGACTGTAGGTTGTGCTCCATACACCAACAGAGTCATCATTAATTCACTTTCATCTTTGTACAAGGTTCTGGTAAGAGGGGTGTCTTGTTCCGAATTGGGAGCATTAATATCAGCCCCCCGTTCTATAAGGAGCTTAGCTGCTCTAAAGTAATCACGATCTAAGGCACAGTGTAACGGTGTATCTCCTTCAAAATAAACTTTATCAATGCAGGCACCTTTTTTGATTAGTTCATATGCAAAATGCTCCTTCGTCCAAGTATCAATATTACTCACATAACAATCAAGTGCAAGTACCAACGCTGTTTGGCCTTCTCTGTTCACGAAATCAAGAGGAAAATCCGGGATGGATAACATATAATCAAAAACTTCAGTGCTAAAAAACGTGGACTTTGCTATTTGTAAATTTTCTCAAACGACATACTTGTCTGTAAGAATTGCAATTTGGAGTAAACTGTAACCGCAAGAGTCTCGAACGTTGTACCACCTGGGAGAATCGAGGAGGTCGCTGAGGACGCCCACTTGGTTTTGGACGACGGCGGCGATTAAACGACATTTTGTTTTAATCTAGGGAGAAATGGGGATTATGTTGTGTGAGGTTTCGTACGTAATTACCAAAGGGGGCCCGTCGTTCCCATCTTCGTAGGATTCTAAATAATAATTCTCGAAAGAAACGTCAGAGTCTGAAGAGGACATATTCGAGTGGGTTTCGCTGAATTTTGCTACAGACTTGTTTTTTCATTCAAAATGTTTTTTGTAGTACTTTGGTTGGCGTTTATGTTTAAACTGTCTAATATCACATTATGAGTTAATTTTGAAGTAATTATCGTTAACTATGTAATATTTTTTAATTTTCAGTGGTTTTTTCATAATAATTGTCGAAATAAGCATTTTAAATTCTAGGTTAGATTTCTGAATTTGTAGCCAACGTGACATTAGTGACTCGGTGATATGACACATGTTGAATATCCCCAAAAATATTGGAAAATGTTTGTTACCTATTTAAAAAAAAAAAAAGATTTCTATGTACAAAAAAACACCAATATTATTAATAATTACAATTATTAATAGTCGTGTACCGATTGGGCATTGTTGTCAACTGCTTCTGTATTTAAAATGTGGGAAAATCATTGTCACCAACCTAAATTTAAGTGCGGACAAATATTTCCATGTTTTTCACTTGATTAGTTGAATCCGCGGCCCCTTCGCTGACATAAATTTGCGCATCATTAAATTTTTTGAGTCACCCTGTATATCCGAATCCAAAAAATATGAATGGAATGATAAATTACAAGAAGAGACTCATCATATTTTGTAAACTTTAATTTAAATAGAATTATACGGCAAACTTTTGAGTTGACGTCATCAATTTTTTGGAGGGGATAAGCAAATATATTTTGACTGAAAATTTATTATGCTCTTTATAACCTTAAAACATTTGCAAGATTTCAAAGCATTGGGTTCTGTAGTTCCCGATTAAATCAATAAAATAAATTTACGCATTCATTAATTTTTGGGGTCATCCTGTATATGCAAATCCAAAATACATGAATGGAATGATAAATCACAAGAAGAGACTCATCATATTTTATACAATTTAGATAGGATTTATTCAGCAAAATTTTGAGGTGACGTCATCAATTTTTTAGAGGGGATAAGTAAATATATTGTGATTAAAACGGTCTTGGTTTAATAACAAAAAATATTGTTCGTCTATAAAACAAGCTCGTCTTAGACAAAGTATTCGTAAAAAAATATGTCGTAAAAAAATGTACGTATGCTGGTCCCGACTGCGATTATGGTTTAAAAATTTTTTAGAAAATCCTGTCATGGATGTAGAAACATTTGTGACAGCCAAAGAGGTTTTTTTGAGAAAATTATCTTTGAATTTAGACCAAACTGAAATAGACACTAGGCAACAGGCACATTTGGGCAAAAGAAAGAGAAATTAGAGTTACGGCTTCAAATTTTGGACGTATTTACAAACTACGACCGACTACAGCAATAGCTAAAACTGTGGAGTCTCTGTTGTACAGTACATTTAGAGGTAATAGTCATACATACTATGGACAGCAAAGTGAGGAAAAAGCTGTCAAGTGTTTTGAAATAAATAAAAATATAAAAACTGAACGGTGTGGCTTGTTTATTTCAAAACAATTTCCTTACTTGGCTGCTAGTCCACACAGGGTTCTAGAGGATAGGAGTGCATGAGTCGAAATTAAATGCCCTTCAAAATCGCAAGATTTGTCTCCCGAAGAAGCGGTTAGAAAAAAAATAATCAAATTTTGTACATTGACAGACAGAGAATTGAAACTAAAAAAAGAATCATGATTACTACTTTCAAGTCCAGGGACAAATGCTTGTTACGGGTATTTCACAAGTTTATTTTGTTGTATGGACACCCAAAGGAATAAATATAGAAAAAATTTATAAAGACGAAGAAATATATGTAAAAAGATAGCAGATAAACATGGCAGATTTTCCTTTGGCGCTTTATTGCCCGAAATAATTGATTCAAGAAGAAAGAGGAACCTGCCTTTGCGAGAGATTTTTTTAAAATAAATAAAATTAGTTTCTGTTTTTTTATGTACTTTAATAATTTATTAGGAGTACATTTTTCTTCACCAAGACTTGCATATTTTTATTATAAATATATTTTGAAAATGATCTCTCGGCAAATGAAAACATATACGAGCACTTTTTTCGAGTAAACAATGAAGGGAGAAGTTACTGGGCGTAGGGCTTTTTTAAAACACCTCCTTTCTGGGATAAGTAGTAGATACACTTAGCTACTTATACGTGTTAAACAAAAGCTGTATTTTATATATTTTTCATTATTATTATAAATATGTTTATTAGTTTTATTAATTAAGAAAGCAAAATATATATTAACAATAATATTACAATGAATTTTTAGTAATCATGTGTATTGAATTCAGGATCCTGAGTGGAGTAAAAATATTATAGTTCCCCAGTTTTAATTCGGTTTTATGATAGTACCTCATTGCGTAAAAGATAATTTCCTTAACAATAGATTACTACGGCCAGTCCTGGCGGCTTGTTATAAAACTGAGTTCCTTGCCATAAATTAGAAAAATCAGCCGAGAACTCTAACAATCAGCTTATGGTAGAGCAGCCGATAAGGGTTTTACCTAGAAAGTCGCTTCCGTAAATTTTAGTGGCGTTCCTATCAGCAAAGTACTGAACTAACTGCTCAAATTCTGTCGAATTGATACCCATTTTTTTCAATAATTGTTAGTTTTTGTTAAAAACTCTGCTAACCAATAGATCATTAATTTTCCTTTGATATTCCAGTTAAAATTATTCGACGTATTTTGCATTAATTTGTGATATATTTTGATTTTAATAAACACATTATTATTTAAACAAATTGTACCACTAACAAACATTTAATGACTCTGCGCCCTGTAAAAAGTGATGTTTTATCCATGTGCGAATTTTCAAGCGATTCTATGATGGTTATGACTCAAAAAACTTGAAAAGAAAACATACAATGGTGCTTTTTTACGATATTTCTCAACCATATTTTTTTAGTTGATTGAACTGGTCTCTGCGCTCTGGAATATGAAAAAAGCTGCAGTTTGATGTATGATACATCTATATTAATATCATTTTTTCATACAAAAAACCAAAAAAATGTTATACCTCGTCTAGCGAGTCCCCTTAACTTCCCCAGCGTACGCATGATCTATATTGTTTCTAGATTTGTAGAACGTGAGAAGATCTGTATTGTGGGTTGCCTACGCTTACAAATATGTAATGAACAATGGATCTGTGATCACTATCATGCCACTTTATTTACGCAATATCAACATGTCTCCTTTTTGGAATAATTGTAACAAATAAAGTATCACATATTTATTGAAACATATAGTCAAAGACTTCGACACTAAAAAACATGCACTTGGTTACTTGTGAATTTTCATACTCGACATACTTGTATTGTAGCCGTCGTTGTCTGGGCTGAGGAAATTAAAGAGCTCCTTGAGGATGTCCACTTGGAGTGAAACTACAGCGGCGATTAATCGATATCTTACTTTAATCTTCGCGGAAAATTCAGGTTATGTTGTGCGAGGTTATGTAGATACTATTAAAGGAGGTCCTAAATCGTAGCTGTTGTAATCGAAGGAGTTGTTAGAATGTGACGACATTTTCGAGTGGATTTGGCTGAATTTTACCGAAAAAATGTGACTTCAGTTTTTTGTTTGAACTCTTTTGTAATATAAATAAAATTAGGAACATTGGTTGTTTATGTTTGTACTGCGTTGATGACTTCATTCGCTAGTTATTTCCGTTTTTGTAAATTTTGTGAAATGGTATCCAATCGCACATAATTTTAAAGTTTTAATGTAAGTACGTTTGTTCGGGTGGGAGTTTATATTTTGATTGCGTTTTGGTGTTTTCATTTCGTTGGAAAAATAGATCTAATTGTAGGTTAGGTTTCCAGACAGAATTGTCAAAATTGATGTCTTTAATCGTGGTTATTAAAAATAGTGCAGGGGTCCTCCACGTTGTTCCAAAATAACTGAATTGGATAAATTTCGACACAAATCACATTTAAAGTAACAAAGATTTAAAAAATAGTCCAAAACAAACTGTCCCAGAGTGCGTAGTCAACGAAGCATTAAAAATTACGTGCGTAATTTAGTAACAAAAGACGCTTAAGTAATTAAAATGATTTAAAGGAAGAGTAATAATTATGTTATGAATTTATAACTTTATTAACGCTTTACTGATTTATGTAACCAAATTTCTTCGCCTTGTACTAACAGCAGGACATGATCTATGACGTCTAAAGTGCATACGTGCAACTTGCAACTGTATATTTGTATTTTCGATTAATCTGGAGGGAACATCGATAAATTATTAAAATTAAATTATCACTCTTTTTTATGTTTGGTTAAATAGTACCTTAGATCCAATCTTTACGTAAACGTCGCCAGGGCTAACTTCATCTGCATGCTCAAAATGCAAGTATATTAACAATACATCACATTATTATGTACGAGTGGACTAATAGCTTAGTGTTTGCCACTCTAAAATTGTTTTTGTTTCTTCTTGTTCTAGATCGCATTATCTAAAACTGTTCATAAATTGAATAATGGGATCCGTCGTATCGAGGCATCCTTTCAATATCCTATTCTTCTCGGTGAGTTTGTTCGTTAGTGTTACTAATTGCAATTAATCCTTTCGCTTTAAGTCACTCAGGCTATAATTTGAGTTTAAGGTATGTGATGACAGCGTGTAATTCTAACACCGAATTCTTGTTTTGTTGCCATTAACCTCGTGGATGTACAAAACATTCAAAATAAAATGCTTCATCAAACGAGTGTTTTATTTAACCTATCGATTCGTAAGTGCTTTTGCTTGACAAAATTAACGTTGTAATACAGACTTAAAGTAAAATACTTATTTTTCTTTGTTTTGTTTGTCAGAAACGCGACGACTTGTTCCTAGACGATTACAAACGCTGCGACAATTACGAGACGTTACTTAGAGAGCACCCTCAGACTCGGATACAATCCGAATTGGTAAAGAATGTTTTAGTCGTTGTTCCAAAAAATAACCTGCAAAATTTCAGGACGAAAAAAGGAAGCGTTTGCTGATTGCAGTCACTCATAATGACATACAACAAGTGAAAGCGCTCTTAGATTCACCAAGACTGTATAAAGTTACTGACAGGAACGGCGAAAATTTACTGCAGATAGCGATCATTCGAAACAAGTAAGTGTTGCCAACGTCATTATTGTAACATTAAATTTCTCTGTAGTGCAGCCGTTTTCGACTATTTGCTTTCGCTCGAAGACTTCCCTCTGGAATTGGTCAACAGCGACAAAGAAACGGCGTTAATAACTGCCGTTAGTGGGGGTTTAGACGACAATGACTACTACTTTGCGGAACAGTTGGTGAAAAAAGGCGCCAATTTGCGGCACATGGAGTATTTAACCAGAACAGTGTGGTACTACTCCATTAAAAACCCTAGAATGATTAAACTGTTGGCGGAAACGGGGGCTGATGTTAACACTTGGCACAGACATTTTGAAACGCCTTTACATATGGCTTGTCGCTACAGCAACGACGAAGTCGTGTCAATTTTGTTGTTTTTTGGAGCTGATCCGCTCACCAAGGGTCATGAGGGCTTAATCCCTTTCGATATAGCAGTCCTACAGAAAAATCGCTTCCAACAAAAACTTTTGTTTAAATATACGTTTGACGCATTCTCTCAATTTAAAATAAAGTGGAGGATTCTGCTGAAACTAGCTCGCCAGCAGTCGTCTCTATTTGAAAAATTCGATCAATTGGTTATGGACAGATCGACGTATAGTATGATGGAGCAAGGCGAACTGGAAGAACTATTGCAACTTGATTCCAAAACACTAAAAAAAGTACTAACGAAATTTAAGAACGTAGTTCGTTGGTTTCTACCATCGTGTAGTTTCCACTTCTGGTGGAAAAAAGAGGACAATATTTTAGAAAAGATCGAAGTTCTGGTGAAGTGTGGATTGGAAGACGAGGTGATCAAGTGTGTCCAAAATACGAATACTACGCTTTTGTTTCACTTCTTGTTGAAGGAGTTCGATGAGCCTACGGTCACTGCAATCACGTGTTATTTGTTGTCGTATGACTTGCGTCTCACTGAACACGATTTACAAGATGTTTACGAAGCGTACGGTTACTGCGAACTGTTTAAGATAATGCTACACATGGATGTCCAGATGGAGATGAAGCGACAACAAATGGTGCCTTCTTTTATCTACGACCTCACGTGGGATTTCAAAACTTGTCGTCGAAAACCGTACTGTTTTGTAAATGTGGAGCATTTGTTGTATTACTTTTCGAATTCGGAAATAAACGACTTCTGTCGGATGGCGTGCGGGGACAAAGTTTCAGAAAAGATTAACAGAATGCCTCAGGTACCGTCACTGGTGGAGATTACCAGAAATGCTTTCCGCAAGCATTTTATTCACAGATATAAGATTAAAACCGCAAAGCAGTTCTTTAGTTTGATTAATGGACTGTGCATTAATGATGTTTATAAAAAGATTATCACCTACGAGAAAAAGATCTACTAATGGAAAGGCGAGACGTGGTGTGTAAATGTATATAAATAAGTATATATGTATATAATCGCTATTATATCATATGTTATTCCGCCATAAGACATGTATGGTATATACGCAATGATGTAAAAGTCACATTGACTGGAGAATCTCCGTGCTGTGTTGTACAGATGAAACTTGTGAAACGGGCAAGAAGAAAACGGTACCTACAATAAATTAGTATGAGTTGGAGACTTTTTATTTATCCTTATTGTAGTAATAAACCTGCTGTTTTTTAAGTTGGTATTAGCAAATTTTACGTACAGTTGGTTACTTCCTGTTGAGAAAACTTAGCTGACAGTGACATTTCTTTATCTTCTATCACGGCCTCTATTAACATGTATTTTTTTTTTCTTATTATAATAACAAACCAATCAATTGATGGCAAATACAAAGCCATCTTTCATTACCAATCAGTGCTTTCATAATTTAAAATTCTATTTTAATAGGCAACCAACAATATGATACAAAGTGAGAACACATGATGAACTTGTTTAATTTGTATCAAAACTCAGCCCATTGAAAAATAGTTACTATTCTTTGAACTTAAAATTTAGGTACTATCCTAGTCATGTAGTACATCTACCTGTATCGTGTTACTGATGAAGTCCATACTCGTTTTCCACGTATGATACAAATGTCAGGGAGGTTTGCATTGTGGGTTGCATAAGATTGTCAGATCGTAATCACGCCACCACAAAACACCTAACCAGAGAACATAGAGAAGCGACATAGTGGCTGATTTTGCAAAACCACCCTTATTAACACTGGAGTCCTCAACTGCCAAAGGAAAGCGCCAAATTTAAATAGTCGACGCCCATAAAAACCTTGCTTCACTATTATCGTTAACTAAGGAATTTTTTTTTAATTATCGGTGTTTTTTTCATAATTGTCGAAATCATCATTTAAGTTTTAGGTTAGATTTTTGAATTGTCTAGCCAACCTGACATGAGTGACATGTTAAATATCCCTAAAAATAAAGGAAAATGTTTAAACATTTTTCTTTAAGGTGGTATCACTCAGAATTGTCACACAACAGTTGAGCATAAATAACTCTTCACGTAGTCCAAACACTCTCTAGTCACTTTTCAAATATCTTAACGCCTGCTATTGCTACCGTTGTTCTGTGCGTTTAGGAGGTATAATGTTGTCGCTCTTTCGAAACGACCGCATCAAATAACGGTAGAAACGAAAAATTGAAAGTCCAAAAGTAAAAAGTCGAGAAATCGAAAAATCCAGAATGTGAAAAATCCAAAAGTCGAAATACTAAAAAATCCCAAAATTGAACGAAATATCCAAAAATTGGGAAATTAAAAAATTGGAAAATTGGGAAATCGAAAAGCCGAAAAATTGCAAACCTAACGAATCGAAAAATTGAAAAATCTGGAGCCTGAAAAATCGAAAAAAAGAGGAACTGAAAAACTGAAAAATCGAAACCTTTGCAAGTCGAAAATGGGAAAACCAAAAAATAGATTAATTGAAAAATCGGAAAACTGAAAATTCAGAAACGTCAAAACTTGAAAAATTGGAAAATTCAAAAATCGAAACATCCGAATCTCGATAAATCGAAATATGTATAAAACAGTCAAAAATTGAAAAATCTACAGATTAAAAAACGAAAAACTGAAGAAATGAAGAATTGAAGAACGGAAAAATCGAAACTGCGAATTCGAGAAACAGTAAAATAAAAAAATATATATCTTAATCGAAAAATCGGAAAACTGAAAATTTAGCAACGTCAAAATTTGAAAAATTGTAAAATAGAAATACTGAAGAATTGGAAAATCAAAAAATCCAGAAATCGAAAAATCTAAAATTTAAAACGTTGAACAATCCAAACGTCAAAGAATAAAAAAAAAACGAAAATCTAAAACTTAAAAATCGAAATATCGAAAAATTGGAAAATCGAAAAACCGAGAAACCCAAAAATCGAAACTTCGAGAAATAGAAAAAAATTGAGAAATTGATAAATTGAGAAATTGAGCAATCAAAACATCCAAACATCTGTATTCGATAAATCGAGAAATAAAAAAAATTTCAAAATTTTAAAAAAGAAAAATTAAAACATCGAAAAGCTGAAAAAAAATTAAGAAATCGAAGTATAAAACTGTCGAAAATTTGAGAAATCTAAAGTTGAACGAAAAATTGAAAATCCAAAAAGTAAAAAAGGGGTGGAAATTAAAAACTGCAAACTGAAAAATAAAAAAATTGGAAAATCGACGAATTGGAATCGATTGGCCTGAAAATTTGAAAAATTGAATAAACGAAAAATTGGAAAATCGAAAGAAACAACAAAAATTAAGGAAATGAAAAAACAAAAAATTGTGTGAAAAATGAAAAAATGAGAAATTGTAATATTGAAAATTTGGAAAATTTGGAAGTCAACAAATTGTAAAATTAAAAAATCAAAAATAAAAAAACGAAAAAGTGTATAATAAAAACTTAAAAAATGTATAAAGTGAAAATCAAACTTGAAAATTTGAAAAATTTAATAAAGGAAAAATTGTAAAATCGAAAGAGACAACAAAAAAAAATGGAAATTGTGATATAAAATCGAAAAAGTGAAAATTAAAAAATCGGGAAAACAAAAAATAAAAATCGGAAACAAAAAATTGGAAAAGGGAAAAATACAAAATTCAGAAACTGAAAAATCGAAAAATGAAAATCTGTAATATTGAAAAATTGCCAAATTGAAAAACTGATGCAAACCGAAAAATTGAAGGAACGAAAAATTGAAAATTTTGGAAGTCTAGAAAAATTCAAAAATCGAAAAGGCCGAAAAGTAAAAAAACGAAAAACCGATAAATCGAAAAATCGAAACATCGAAAAATTCAAAAATTGAGACAATCAAAACATCGAAACATCCGAATCTCGATAAATCGAGTTCTCAAAAAATTGAAAAAACTCGAAAAATTCATAAATCGAAATATATATAAAACAGTCGAAAATTGAAAAATCTAAAGATTAAAAAACAAAAAACTGAAGAAATGAAGAATTGAAGAACGGAAAAATCGAAACTGCGAATTCGAGAAACAGTAAAATTAAAAAATATATATCTTAATCGAAAAATCGGAAAACTGAAATTTTAGCAACGTCAAAATTTGAAAAATTGTAAAATAGAAATACTGAAGAACTGGAAAATCAAAAAATCCAGAAATCGAAAAATCTAAAATTTAAAACATTGAACAATTGAAATATCGCAAAATTGAAAAATGGAGAAATCCAAACATCAAAGAATAAAAAAAAAGAAAATCTAAAACTTAAAAATCGAAAAACTGAAAAATCGACAAATCGAAACTTCAGAATTTAAAAAAATTGAAAAATCGGATATAACTGAAAAATCGAAACATCGAAAAATTGGAAAATCGAAAAACCGAGAAACCCAAAAATCGAAACATCGAGAAATAGAAAAAAATTGAGAAATTGATAAATTGAGAAATTCAGCAATCAAAACATCCAAACATCTGAATTCGATAGATCGAGAAATAAAAAAAAAATTAAAATTTTAAAAAAGAAAAATTAAAACATCGAAAAGTTGAAAAAAAATTAAGAAATCGAAGTATAAAACTGTCGAAAATTTGAGAAATCTAAAGTTTAACGAAAAATTGAAAATCCAAAAAGTAAAAATGGGGTGGAAACCCAAAAACTGCAAACTGAAAAATAAAAAAATTGGAAAATCGACGAATTGGAATCGATTGGCCTGAAAATTTGAAAAATTGAATTAACGAAAAATTGGAAAATCGAAAGAAAGAACAAAAATTAAGGAAATGAAAAAACAAAACATTGTGATATAAAATCGAGAAAATGAAAAATAAAAAATCAGGAAAATGCAAAATAAAAATCGGGGAGTTGAAAAATTGAGGGGACGGAAAATTGAAAAAGGGCACAATTAAAATTCGAGAATGTGAAAAATGCAAAAATGAGAAATTGTAATATTGCAAAATTGGAAAATTTGGAAGTCAACAAATTATATAATTGAGAAATCAAGAATAAAAAAACGAAAAAGTGTATAATAAAAACTTAAAAAATGTACAAAGTCAAAAACAAACTTGAAAATTTGAAGGAAAATTGCTAAAAACCTGAAAATTTTAAAAATCAAAGAAACGAAAAATTGAAAAATCGAAAGAAACAACAAAAAATAAAGGAAATCAAAAAAATGGATATTGTGATGTAAAATTGAAAAAGTGAAAATTCAAAAATCGGGAAAATGAAAAATAAAAATCGGAAACAAAAAATTGGAAAAGGGAAAAATAAAAAATTCAGAAACTGAAAAATCGAAACATGAAAATCTGTAATATTGAAAAATTGCCAAATTGAAAAACTGACGCAAACCGGAAAATTGACAATTTTGGAAGTCGAGAAATTGTAAAAGTGAAAAATCAAAAATAAAAAACGAAAAATTACAAAATGAAAACTTGAAAAATCTTAATAATCGAAAAAGTGAAAAATCAAAAAAAAAAAGAAATATGTATTATGAAATAGAAATATTTAAAATTAAAGAAATTGGAAAATCGGAAGACTGGAAATCCAAAAACTGCAAAGTGAAAAATTTAAAAACTGAAAAATGGACGAACTGAAAATTCAAAGCCTGAATATTTGAAAAATTGAACAAATGAAAAATTGTAAAATAAAGGAAATGAAAAAACGGACAATTGTGATATAGATCAAGAAAATAAAAATTAAAAATTCGCTACACTGAAAAATAAAAATCGGGAACATGAAAAATTGTGAAACTGAAAATTCGAAAAATTGAAGAAACGAAAAATTGAAAAATCGAAAGGAACGACAAAAAATAAAGGAATTCAAAAAATGAAAATTTCTGACATAAAATCGAGAAAATAAAAAAAAGTTTCTATGTATATAAAAAAACGCTAGTACAATTAATAATTAATTATTATCACGAGCCGTGTACCAATTGGGTATTATTGCCAACAGTAAAATAATACTTTTTTTATTTCTCGTCGTTTCTCGTTAATATATGTACAATAGTTGGTAGTTCGCTAGGGGATTCTAGTTAGAGGGTTGGTAGAATAGAAAATGGCGGCTTGGTAGAGAGGTGAAAGTGGTGAAAAGGCGCGTTAAGTTAGCTAGGTTAGCACGTGTAAATTTGATTCAATATTTGTAAATCCACAATTCAGATTAGGAGTTTAATCGTTAACTGGTTCTAACAACAATTTAACAGACATTAGATTTAATTAGGTAAATACCTACTAGGCGAAAATTACGAATAACGTTTCTGGATGCATAATATACTAAAGTGTACCATTATAACACCTCTTAAATCTTTACACAAGATTACGGCAGTTAAATTAAGCTAACGTTGGTCCACTGTGGAAAAAGACCGCAGAAATACTGTCAAAATATCGTGGACTGACGGAGGAATTAAAAATTTCTCTCCTTAGACACTTGTTCAGTTGTCGTTTATGTCAGTCATAGAAATTGAACATTTAAAATGGAATTGAGGTTAAATAATGTGGCTAAAGCGGAGGGCGCGGTTCCTAGTCGAGCACAAAGAATGCAGGCTTTGTATAGAAGTCAGGGGAGCGGTCGGGATGATGAAGTCCGCTTACGATACAAACGTCAGGGATGTTTGCATTGTGGATTGCATAAGGTTGTTAGCCATTATAAAAGAAGTGTCATACTCATATCAATGATCATAATCATGCCACTTGCCGTGTATTCCAGATAACATTATAACAGGTATTATTCTCAAATGATTTTTAACGCATGTAGTAGTAGCACCATTTATTTTCAATAAAAAAATACTGGATAAAACAAATTACAAATAACTTCCACTTATAATAACAAAAATAGAAACATAACGATAAAATATTTTTAATACAATTTTGTTTCATATGTAATAATCTTTTTGTGTATCTTACTAATTGGCAGGCCGTTGAGTCTCGAGTAAAACTCTTTGCACGTTTTAATGTTAAATTTTTTTACAAAATATTCCCTAAAAACATTTCGCGCTAGTTCTATCAACAGGGGAATTTCTGGAAAACTCTGTACTGCTGCATTACAGTACTGAAACACTTGATCAATCGGGGAACAAATTTCATTTAATTTCGGATGGGCGAAATAACCTCGTAATAGATAAGCACTATTCGCATCATAACTACTCTGTTGTTGGAAAAAACGTTCTAAATTCATATTAATATCATACACGAAAACAGGCATCGCCCTTTTTATGTAATTTTCTAGAATAACGCCCATTTGTACGTCCATGTGCAAAAGAATTTTAAACAATTCGCAGTAACCGAATTTTTCATATATAATTTGCAAATCTAACTCTCCAATATTCAAGCCATAACTTAATAAATAACAGTAGAGTTGAGTTAACCCAGTTTCCGTATACCCAAGTCCTATCAAATCCTCAAATACCTCGCTACTATTGACATTATTAATAAAATTTATCACACTTGGTCTTAATTCGCTTTCAAGCATCACATCTAAGTTTTCTAAACAAATAACCTTGCCCTTGCCATCCCTGTAATAAGCTACTGGAAATATTTTTCTTGAAAACACCTTATTCATATAGTGACCAAATTTTTGAATAATGAGTTGCAGACAATCGATGCTTATGGAACACAATAGGCGAAAGTAGAGATTTAAACACTCATGCTGAATTGTTATTTTAATAGGGCATTCAATAATGTGGTAGAATAGTGGCGATTTCGCCTCAGCAAGCGTTAGCAACACATCCAGGCGCAACTCTAGGTTTGAGTACTCATCATAAATATACAAAAATAGAATTTCTTGTACTTCAAAAGTGTTATTATATAAAACAGATTGTTCAAAGTTGAAGACTGTAGGTTCTGCTCCATACACCAACAGAGTCATTATTAGTTCGCTTTTACCTCTGTACAAGGTTGTGGCAAGAGGGGTGTCGTGTTCTGAATCGGGAGCATTAACATCAGCCCCCCGTTCTATAAGGAGCTTAGCTGCCCTATAGTGACTACGATCTAAGGCACGGTGTAATGGTGTATCCCCTTGGAAACAAACTTTATCAATGCAGGCACCTTTTTTGATTAGTTCATACGCAAAATGCTCCTTCATCCAAATATCGTTACTCACATAACAATCAAGTGCAACTACCAACGCTGTTTGGCCTTCTTTGTTCACGAATTCGAGGGGAAAATCCGGTATGGATAACATATAATCGAAGACTTCGATGCTAAAAATCGTGCACTTAGCTATTTGTAAATTTTCACAAGCTACATACTTGTCTCTAAGAATTGCTATTTGTAGTAAACTGTAACCCCAAGAGTCTCGAACGTTGTACCATCTGGGAGAATCGAGGAGGTCGCTGAGGACGCCCACTTGATTCTGGACGACGGCGGCAATTAAACGACTTTTTTTTTAATCTAGGGGGAAATTGGGATTATGTTGTGTGAGGTTATGTGCGTAATTACCAAAGGTGGTCCTTGTGGGTCGTCGTCGTACTGATCTTCGTAGAATTCTAAACCATAATGCTCGTATTCGACAGAGTTATCAGAAACCTCAGAGTCTGAAGAAGACATATTTTTTTTCGCTGAATTTTGCCACACTTCGAAATGTTTTTAGTAGAACTTTGGCTGGCGTTTATATTTAAACTATGTCTAATATCACATTATGAGTAACTTTTGAAGTAATTATTGTTAACTACGTAATATTTTTTTAATTGTCAGTGCTTTTTTCATAATTGTCGAAATTAGCATTTAAATTATAGGTTAGATGTCTAAATTGTCTAGCCAACCTAACATGAGTGACACGTGGTGACAAGTTAAATATCCCTAAAAATATTGGAAAATGTATAGCCCCTCAGAGAACATAGAGAAGTGTCAATGTTTAAATTAAATGACGGTTGAGGACTCCTCGACTTATGTTGGCAACAGTGTTTGTTTCTAACTAGGAATAAAATTAACTACAATAGAAAACATGTCATAATATTTTTAACGACGCGTTTTACTTTCCACAATTGACACTAGATTTACCAAAATATTACAAGCTGCTTACTGTTTCCTTCACTTTAATTCAGATCACACGAATTACAGTTCGTCGTCTGAGAACTTGTTTGATCTACAGACCAGAGCGCACTCAGGCCAATGTCGACTCTAAGCGTTCGGAAACGATTTAATTTATAAGCGATGATCCGTGATCTGATACACATCCTAACCGGTTTCGACCATCATTTCTTGCTGTTTCAACTTTCGAATTCTCAGTTTTTCGAAAGTATAGTTTGGGGACTTTTAAGTTTACTCCTATTTATTATTCAATTTTTGGATTTTACAATTTCTCAATTTTTCAATTTCTCGGTTTTCAGTTTTTCTCTTCAATTTTACGGTTTTTAAATATTTCGATTATTCAATTGATTGATTTTTCAGATGTTTTGATTTTTCAATTTCTCTATTTTTTCAGGTTTCGATTTTTCAACATCACTTTTTTGATTTTTCGATTTCCCAATTTTTTAATTTCTCAGTTTTTGGACATTTCAGTTTTGGGATTTTTCAGTTTACCTATTATTCAATTTTTCGATCTTACGATTTTGCAGGTTTTTGATTTTTAAATTTTTCGATTTTAATAAGGTTTCGATATTTCGACTTCACTTTTTTGATTTTTCGATTTCTCAAATTTCGATTCTTTAGTTTCTCAGTTTTTGAACGTTTCAGTTTTGGAATTTTTCAATATTTCTGTTCTTCGACTTTTCCATTTTTGACATCTGGATTTTTCGAAATTTGAGATTTCTCAATTTTTTTGGTATTTTAATTTTTCAATATTTAAAATTTTAGTTTTTTCTTATTTTTCTCGATTTTTCATTTCAGCTACTCCATATTTCAATTTTTCAAATGGTTCGATTTTTCGACTTCCCGGTTTTAGATTTTTTTTCAATTGTCGTTTTTTCAATTTTTCGATTTTTAAATTTTAGATTTTCGAATTTTTTGATATTTTAATTTTTCAATATTTAAAATTTTAGATTTTTCGATTTCTCGATTTTTCATTTCAGTTCTTCGATATTTCCGTTTTTCATGTTTTCGAATTTTTCAATGTTTTGATTTCTTAATCTATCGATTTTTCGACTTCCCGCTTTTAGATTTTCTGTTTTTCAATTGTCGTTTTTTCAAATTTTCGATTTTTCAATTTTTCAAATTTGGCATATAAAAACTGTCAATTTTTCGATTTTACAATTAATCGATGTTTTGATTTTCCCATTTTTTGACTTTCGAGGGTTTCGATATTCCTGTTCTTCAATTCTTTAATTTTTCGATTTTTCATTTTTTAGTTTCTTTAAGGTTTCGATTTTTCCACTTCCCTTTTTGGATTTTTCGATTGGTCAATTTTTCGACTTTTTAGGTTCTCAGTTTTTGGATATTTCAGTTTTCGGATTTTTCAGGTTATTAGATTCTCAGTTTATCTTTCATTTTTCAGTTTTTCCATATCTCAGTTTTGGGATTTTTCAATATTTCCATTCTTCGACATAGATTTTTGACTTCTGGTTTTTTCGATGTGTCGATTATCTTACTTTTTAGATTTTTCAATTTTTCGATTTTAAATTTTGGATTTTTTAATTTTTAAAATTTTAGATTTTTCGATTTCTCGATTTTTGAGTTCAGTTCTTCGATATTTGAATTTTTCAAGTTTTCGAATTTTTCAAATGTTTCGATTTCTTAATCTTTTGATTTTTCGACTTCCCGGTTTTAGATTTTCTGTTTTTCAATTGTTATGTTGCCAAATTTTCGAATTTTTAATTTTTCAAATTTGACTTTCAAAAACTCTCAATTTTTCGATTTTTCAATTAATCGATGTTTTGATTTTCCCATTTCTTGACCTTCGAGTGTTTCGATTTTCCTGCTCTTCAATTCTTTAATTTTTTGACTTTTCGGGTTTTTGGATTTTTCAGTATTTAGATATTTCAGTTTTAGGATTTTTCAATGTTTCAATTCTTCGGCTTTTCTATTTTTGACTTCTGGATTTTTCGATGTGTCTACCTTTTTACTTTTTCGATTTTTCAATTTTTGGATTTTTAAATTTAAAATTTTTCAATCTTTTGATATTTTAGTTTTTCAATATTTCTTAATCTTTCGATTTTTCGACTTCCTGGTTTTAGAAGTTCTGTTTTTCAATTTTTCGATTTGTTAATTTTTCATTCCCGATTTATCGAGATTTGATTGTTCAGATTTTCGATTTATCAGTTTTTCAATTTTTTATTTTGGCCTATTACGGTTTCTCAGTTTTTCCAATTTTCCATTTTTTCGTTTTTTGATTTTTCCGCTTTTCCAATTTTTCAACTTTTAATTTTTTGTTTGTCGATTTCTCTATTTTTCGATTTTTCGACTTCATCACTTTTCGATTTCTTGTTCTTTTGATCTTTCAATCTCTCAATTTTTCAATTTTTCGAATTTTTACGTTTTTTGATTTCTCAATTTATGGAGATTTGCATTTTTCGACATTTTGATTGTCAATTTCTCAATTTATAAATTGTTCAATTTTTAATTTTTCGATTTTGGCCTATTTCGGTTTCTCAATTGTTCGACTTTTCGACTCCACGATTTCTTGATCTTTTGATTTTTCGATCTTCCAGTTTTTCGATGTTTCGATTTTTCAGTTATCCGACTATTAAATTTGGGAGTTTCGATTTCTCGATTTTTCGTGATTCGGTTTTTAAATTTTAGAGTTTGTGACCTAACCTCTTCTAGTTTGAAAAATAGTCGAAAATGTCAAAAGTGCCAAAATCAGTTTTATCTTATCAAGTTTTAGCCCCGCCCACCCACCCTCTGTTTTTTTGGAAGGTATTTGATTTGCCAAAATCAGCCTTATCTTAGTAAGTACTAGCCCCCCTCCCTCTTCTAATTCTAAGGACTAATTTTACTTCTGTTAAGTATAAGATCATTTATTTGATCCAGATCGGATAAAATCATTCACTGAAAAAGAGGCAGGGTGGGTGGGCGGGGCTAGTTACGTTCTTCTGTCGAGTGAGACTGGAAACTAATAATAAAATCTAGAATATTCTAATGGAAAAAGTAAAAAAAAAACGCTAATCGTATTTATTTTTTGTTATACTATTTGTTACAAAATTTATTTCTTATATGTATCATGCACCTCACCTGGCTTGACCTAAAGTGACCTGACTTCTCAATTGTCTCAAAGAAACAAACAAATTTTAAACATTTCTGTGAAAATACCTATAAAAACCACAAAGTACATTCCTAAAATAATTGTACTTATTTTCTGAAACAAAAATTAATAAAAATGTCCTTTTTTATCAATAATAATTTTATATCTAGCGATTTTGATGGAAAAAAACGGTAGGAATTTCCGAAGAAACGAAACCGAAAATGACTTCTGGATATCGAAATCTACATGAAAATATCTTTAGGTAATTTTAGAAAATAGTTGAAGAATGGTCGAGAATGTCACAGGTGCTAAATCAGCTATCTTATCAAATACTAGCCCCACCCATCCACCCTGTTTTTTTTTCTAACGACTAATTTTATTTCAACAGATCCCATAAAATGAATCACTGAAACAGAGACCGGGTGGGTGGGCGGTGCTTGTTATCGAAGAAACGAAGCTGAAAATGATTTCTGAATATCGACATCTAGAAGGAAGTAAGTGTATTCGACTAATTTTCGAAAATAGTTGAAAATTGGTCGAAAATGTCAAAAGTGCCAAAATCAGTCTTATCTTATCAAATATTAGCCCCGTATATAAAAAAACGCTAGTATAATGAATAAATTAATGATTATCAAGAGCCGTGTACCAATTGGGCATTGTTGCAACAGTAAAATAATACTTTTTTACATTTCTCGTTAATATATGCAAAACCACCCTTATTGAAATTGGAGTCCTCAACCGGCAAAGACAAGCGCCAAATTTAAATAGTCGATGCCAATAAAAAACTTGTTTCACTACAACTCGTCGCCTGAGAACTTGTTTGATCTACAGACCAGAACGCGCTCAGGCCAATATCGACTCTAAGCGTTCAGAAGCGATTTGGTTCGTTTGGACTATAATTTCTGCGGGAAATAGTTGTTTGGTCGGTTTTTATAACGACTAAGTGAATATTTTTGGTACATATTTAGATGACTTTACATATTTTGTTTAACTAATAATTAATTCTTTATTTGTGTTTTATACTAGCAAAACATCTTAAACTAAGAATATTGTTGAAATCGCAATAACCCAATGGATTTTTTTCGGGAAAATGTTTTGCAAACACTGTGTTCTAGTTTGTATGAATTTTTAAATGTTTTTAGTGACAATTTTTGTGGTTGTTTTCGATACACTGTATGAAATTAACAGTGAGAAAAAAAATTGAAAAATTAAAAAATCTAAAATTTAAAAACCGAATAACGAAAAATCGGGAAATCGAAACTCTCAAATTTAAAAAATCGGAACATCGAAAAACTGGAAAATCGAAAAACCGAGAAATCGAAAAATCAAAAGATCAAGAAATCGTGGGGTCGAAAAGTCGAACAATTGAGAAACCGAAATAGGCCAAAATCGAAAAATCAAAAAACTTAAAAATCCGAAAAATTGAAAAATTAAGCGATTGAAAGATCAAAAGAACGAGAAATCGAAAACCTGAACAATTAAATCTCGATAAATCGGGAATGAAAAATTAACAAATCGAAAAATTGAAAAACAGAACATCTAAAATCGAAAGATTAAGAAATATTGAAAAATTAAAATTTCAAAAGATTGAAAAATCTAAAATTTCACAAGATTGAAAAATCTAAAATTTAAAAAAACAAAAATTGAAAAATCGAAAA